ACATTGCCTAACATATGAGTTCTTCAGGGGACATTTTTAGATTCAAACCCTAGCAACCTCATTAATTCTAATGAGATTGAATGCATGTTGTTTTGTGTCCCTCATCTGTCCAAGGGTATAAGTTGCTAAGTTGATATGTGGGGTCTTTTACAGAGTTGAAACGGTTAGGGTCACCTGAAATGTTTGAGCTACACTGCTTAGGTGTGCTGATTAGCCCAAATTAAAGAAGGAAGTTGACCTTCAACCCTGTCTTTGTTTCGTTCCAGCTGCAGAAATCCTTTTCAGTTGCTCTCTGGTTTGAGTAAACACAGTCCCTGTCACCTTATCCCTTTGATGACTGGTTCCACGTCTATATTTTCACTTGGGCATGATTCTCACTGACAGTAGAAAGTTCAGCCCCAAGACCGGCAGCTGTGAAAATACTTGCTCCTCTCCAGAACTATTAGTACTCCTGGGAATCACGTCACTGTGCCAACTGCTTGCCAGTCCTGAAGTGACCTTGTTATTTTGGGAAGTAGTAAAGGAAATGATATTTTAAAAGCCTGAAGTGGCATTTTCCTTGGGCACTGAAAGGTGTAAGTGATAAAATACTCACTGTGTTTAAGGATCAGGGGAACAGACAGGTTACTGGACACACAGAGATACAAAGGCTTTCTCTGTGTGTCAGCAAAGTACATTTGAGCTCAGTGAAATACCCCAGGACCTAAGTGGTCTTTTCACTTGTATAACTAGACAATAGAAGGGGTCAGGTTATTATTCATTTATTTATTTTTGTGGGGATTGAACCCAGGTTTGCTCTACCATTGAACTACATCCCTAGCCCCTTTCATTTTTTTTTTTAAATTTAGAAACAGAATTTCACTAATTTGCTGAAACTGGCCTTGAGCTTGCAATCCTCCTTCTTCAGCCTCCAGAGTCAATGGGGTTACAAGAATATGCCACTGTGCCCAGCTCAGAAGTGGTCAGTGTAAAAAAGCTATTCTTCTGTCCAACTTTTGGATTTTTATTACAAACCAAACATAATCCTCAGGTGAAATGAAGAGTACAGAAAAGAGGCTGCTGGATTTTGAGCTGCTGTGAGCAGAAGCAGCCCATGTTTTATTCATGTTTGTCCCCTAACCAGGTCCACCATACTTGTCATATAGTTGGTACTCAGCAAATGTTGGTTGGTAAAAGATTCATCTATGTTTCCATGGGGTATTTATATTTTATGGTAAGTTAAGCATTTTTTGCTTAACTCAGTGAAGATGGACATATCCTATGATCCTTATTTATTTTGACCTTTATTTGGCTACAAGGGTTTTAAAAATGAAATAATAAGGAAAATAATTTTTAGTACCATTTTACATAAATAGATAGATACACTTGCTGACTAAGTGTAGATAAAGATGTTCTCTCCTGAAGATGCTTTTGCAAATCTAAATTGCAAAAAGAAAGAGGTTATTGGTATGGGAGTAAGGGAAATTCAGATAAAACTCATAGCTTAATTTCTAGACAGGATTGCTATTTTAAAAATGGATTTCAAGTGTATCTTGTGAGCCTGGCACAGGCACTGAGGGGTTTACCAATGATTTGTGATTTGTAATTATCCAGAATATGGTCCAATGATCCACTGTCCTTTGAAACAGTCAGTCTGTTCTCTTGATGGCTCTTGTGTACTTTCTTTGCATCAGCTCTCTAGTCAGGGCTCTGTTCCTTCTGATCTGTCTTGTTGGAACAGTCTCTTTATCTTTCCCTCTTAAGCATGCCAGTCCCTACTTCTTGCTAAATTATTCTTTGTTAGTGGTTTCTTGAGGGTCACTAGCCCTGCTGCATTAGTATCACCTGGGAACTTCCTACAAATGCAAGTCCTTGAGCCCCACCCTGGATCTACAGAAGAAGTAACATTGTGAGGGCCCTACAATTATGTTTTCTTTCTTTTTTTTTAAGAGAGAGAGAGAGAGAGAGAGAGAGAGAGAGAGAGAGAAAATTTTTTTTTAATATTTATTTTTTAGTTTTCGGCGGACACAACATCTTTGTTTGTATGTGGTGCTGAGGATTGAACCCTGGCCGCACGCATGCCAGGTGAGCATGCTAGCGCTTGAGCCACATCCCCAGCCCTACAATTATGTTTTCATAAGCCTGGGATGTTGACTCAATTTCCAATTTGAGAACCATTGCTGTATGTAAATAAAGCTCAGTAATAAGCATATCATAACCTCTTTGTTTAACATCCTTTATTTTCTTCCCTGCCAACCATAGCCTAAGCATGTATTTTTTATATCCTTCTATTTGATGCTTTGTACAATTAAGCACTAGCTTCTACTCCCCTATGCGTGTAATTGTAACCCACACTGCAATCCAAATGCATCATTTGCACTTCTCTCTCCTCTCTCTTCTTGTAGAAACCATATTTATTCTTTAGAGTCTATCAAAAAATAGTATTTGTCTACATAATCCACATACGCAGATTTAAAATCTTCTGGTCATGAAGGATTTATAAAAAAACACAACAGACCCTACACCTCTACACTTAATCTTTCCTGTCCCCCAAGTTTCATTCCCCAAGAGAAATCATTTTCACTATTCCTGCTTAAGATCTTCTTGGAGAGCCAGGTGTGGTGGCACATACCTATAATGCCAGCAACCCAGGAATCTGAGGCAGGAGGATCACAAGTTTGAGGCCAGCTTCAGCAACTTCTATGAGACCCTCAGCAACTTAGTGAGATACCATACCAAAATAAAATAAAATAATAAAAAGCACTTGAGATGTAGCTCAGTGGTAGAGTGCCCTGGGTTCAATCTCTAATACAAACAAACAAGCAAACAAACAAATAAATAAACAAAAAATAAATAAATAATAGTTTTCTTGGAATTATGACTATTTTGAAATTATTTAAAAGTTTATCTACTAACTTTTATGTTTTGCATCTACTAAGTTTTGTGTTGGTAGGTAAAATAAGAATAGAAAAAATTTTAGGTAGATAAAATTTTAGGTAGATAAAATGGGCACCCCATTTCCCTCTTCACTCTCCCCAGTATATCCTGAGTTAAATCTTAATCTTGGCCAAGTTCGTCTTTTCCTTGGAGTGTTTTCAGAGTCTGCTTTCTTCTTGTATACTGTTTGCATTTCTCTGTGAGTATATGCCCCTCCTTCTCATGTTATCACAATGTTTGTCTGTGTACAACTCCCAACCAAAGGAGGGGGTAAGAGCCCAAGGAATGGAGACTGTGATTTACTTTCTTTGCATCCCATCCTCCCTGCTTCAAGCAGAGTAGTGCCTCTAAGTCAATGTGGTGAATTTAATAAAGTAAAATGTTTTCTCAGCCTTGAAGCTTGCAGCTGTTACGTCAGCATCAGGAACTTGTCTTCTCTTTCTAATGTGGTTTTCTGACATTATTGTGGAGAATGGTAAGCCTAGACACAGGGGGCTTGTGCCAGACCAGTTCCTTGGTGACCTCTCCTAAGATCTTCAGTAAGGTGCCTAATGCGTTGCTTCTGTTTTTTTTTTTTTTTTTCACCAATAAAAGGATGACAATAATTATCTATGAACAGGATTGAAGTGAGAATCAAATGCAACAACACATGTTATGAAGTATTATGTTGATTCTTATATTTAAAACAAAAAAGCAGCCTATTTTCTAGTTGCAAATAGGGTTATAAAAAATTAAATACAAAAATAGAAAAAAAAATAGTTTATTTTTAGACCCAAGAGATCTTTTCCCCAGATTAGCCTTGGATTTCTTTTATACTTGGGAAAGTATATTCTCATTGCCTGAAATTTGAAGCAAGAAAAGTCAGACATGAAGTACCATTTGCCTATTCTTGCTTGTTGATGAGAAAACAGCATTACTGCCAACCTTTCAGGCTTTGAAGGGATTTCAAACTTTATCTTGATTTGATGGTTAAAAAAAAAAAAATTAACCAAAGGCACGTTTTCTAAGCCCTTGTCTGGCCTTACCCATTAGAAAAGTGTGAGCTACTGTTCTATCAAAACTAATTAAACCTTAAATGTATAACCAACTCTCAATTACCAAGGTTAATGGGACTACATGCATACATAATTATATCTTACATTTATACAGTGCTTTTAACTTCTTCAAAGCACTTTTCACTGTATTGCATATATGAAACAGAATTTTTTTTGAAACCCACAAGTAAGGTAAAAAAGGAATTTTGAAATCAATAATTTTAGATTTGTACCTTTCCAAAGCTATTAGAACTATTATAGCCCAGTAGGACATTTATCACTTTACTCTGTTTCTCATCCCTCTCAAGCAAAGACAAGAAATGACTGAAAGGTCTAGAGCAAGAAAAAGAGAAGTCAAGAACCTGGACCTTCCATAAACAAGATCATTAGCTCTGGGTCATTAAAAATAATTGACTGTATGTGGTGACTCTCTCTGGGAAGGCCAGGAAGAGATGATAAGCCATAGGAAATGATGTGTAACAGTATTTACAGGGCTCTCATCATTGTCATTCATTCAGTAAGTACCTACTGTGTGCCAGGCATCATTTCCAACAGAGGACAGGTACATCACTGAGCAATTCAGGCAAGGCCACTACTACCATGGAGATAACCTTGAATTGGGCAGACAGCAGATGAGCAAGTACACAAATAAGGTGATTCCAGGTAGCATGAAGCACTGTAAATTCCAGAAGACACAGGGATGTGTGAGAGAGTGCCTTGGAGAGGGACTGCTATTTTAGATAGGGGGGCCCGAGAAGGCCTCTGTAAGAAGGTGATATCTAAGATACAACCTGCAAAACGAGAAAGAGCCCACTTGAGAAGGTCTGCTAGCCAGAATGATGGAATTAATACAATGGGCAAGTCTGCTGGAGACCTTGGGTTTGTGGTTTCTCATTTTGTGTCCTTTTGTTAATATTCCAAACATCTCTTCAGGACCCTTGATTTATTTGCTTCTAAGATGGGCATTGCTAATACCAATCCCTTGACAGGGATACTCAGAGGAATAATAAGTAAATAAGTGTAAAGAGTGATATAAATGCTGAATGATGATTACAGTAATAACCTTTTATTCAAGTCAGCACTGTGATGGGCAGCTCACACTCAGATGCCTTAGCAAATGTGGAAATCAATACCGCAGCTCCTGCACACACCAGCACCATCCTTTAAAATAGAAAAAAAAAAAGAGCTGATTATCATGATATTCAAAGTGGTTAGTGATCAAATAGCTGTCTTGAGCGAAAGCCCGTGTGTGAAGTGTAAAATGGGAGTTGTGAGGTAATGGCACAGTGCAGAGTGGAGCACGTAGAGGACAACTGGTAAGCATAGCTGGATGCTTGCTGGTCCACACAGGGCAGGAATTCTGTGGGCTTGGGGACCAGGCACTGCCACCACCAAAAGCACTCACAGACGGAAAGTGGGATGAGAAAGAGCTGGATCAGCAACATCTCTGCCAGCAGCCCCATCTGGCCCTCTTGGCCTTGGTAAGCCTCCCCTGGGGGTGGGGAGGACTGAAAAGCCAGTACCAAGGGCCCTTCCTTGGAAGGGCACCAAGGAAGTGGGGAGGGAGGGAAGGAGAGAAGAGGGGAATGAGCACTTGAGCACCACACATTTTTCCTTTCTGGAATAAATTATTCCAGTGCCTAGAGAGACTTCATAACTGAGCCTTCCTACAGGATTGGACCAAATAATCATCCCCACTAGTTGTTTCTCTTCCTGCCCTCAAAACGCTCAACCCAAATATTACACTAACAATATTATAAATTATTTTTTGTGGGTCCTGCCATTACTTTGAGATTAAAATTCATGTGCCCAAACATTCCTTCCTTCCTGTCTCCCATTCCATGCTGGCAATCACATTGTATGGTCATATAGACAGATAGTCAGACACCCCTCCTCACACACACTCCCAAACACACAGTCATGTGTTAAGCCCTAGCTCAGCTATTGCAAAGTACCTATACAGTGTGAGCCACATAGCAGAAAATTTTAAGTTATTGTTCCATCTTCTCTGAAAAAGAGGAAGGAAGAGGAGAATAAAAAAAAGAAAGAAAGAAAATGCCTATCTTAAGGTTGATTCCTGACACTTGACACTTGGCTCCATATTGACTGAGCAAATCACTTTCCTGTGTAGTATGGGTAAAATAGAGATGTTCTCTGAATTGCTCAGATCCCCTAGGGCATACTTCACATTTTGAAGCTTGGCTAAAAATTAGAGAGGGGGCTTAAAAAGAATCCTAGTCTTTAGAAAATTATGGTTTAAATTGGAGTAGGGGAGGATTAAGATCCTAAAAAATATGTAGTTGATTTTAACCAAATGAAATAATTCAAATATTTTAAATATTTATGATAACTGTATTTAAAATTCTTTGGGCTATCCCAGAACACAAGGAGTGCTCAGTAAGCCTTCTGCTGGTAAGTCAGGCATGGTATTAATGCCAATCTCCCAGCATCTCAGGCTATTTGTTCCTGAACTTATTGGTTCAAGTGTACCATTTATTCAGGTGTTTTGTTCCCCATGTAGTCAAAGGAGGAATCTGAGGAAAATTGTTGTCAGGAGTCAGAATTATGTTTGAGACCAAATCAGTCTGAACTAGGTTTGTTCTTAGCAGGCATGCCGAAATGGCCTTCAAATTTTTGTCTGGTGTTTTTAATGCTCTGGACTGTCAATAAATCAGAAGAGAAACCTATAAAGAGGGAATGTATCGGCTTATATTGCTTGCTTTTAAATTAAGATAACCAATACCCAACAAAATATAGTATTGAAGCCCAAGCAATTATTCCCAGTTATTGTTTCAGATCATTGATTTCATCTTGATTTTTCCTCTTCTCTTTCCCCTCTCACTCCTCCTGTCTCTGTGTCTGTTCTTACCTGGCACTTGACTTTCCTGACTCCCTTTCTTTCCTTAGTGTCTAGCTCTGTTGCTGACTGCTTTGGAATTGTTTTTGACCTTTCTGCTTTTCATTTTTGACATTCTCTTGAAAATGGCTCATGGTTATCTTCTAGCTCTCTCTAGTTCTGGTTGCATAGAGATGTGACCATACCCAGAAAAGTTTTTATCCCCAAATCCTTGTGGCTTTGACCTGCCTCAGTGGCACCCAGTGTGAGGCTTGACTCCCTCAGATTGGGGAGGGGTTGGGAAAGGGATAGCAGAAGAATCAAGGGAGGAGGAGGAAGGGTATCTGGTTCCACTTAAATTATTCAGGGAACTGAGACTTTGTCTGTTGCACATTCTATGTCTCCTCATTTCTTGTTCTTTTTCTTACCATTTTGTTTCTGACTCTTCCTCTCTCCAATTTTTGAGTCTCGGTCTTCTAATTAGTCTGTCTTCTTTAAGCATCCTTTGTAAGACTTAAGTATGAGTGAGAGTTAGTGCATTAGCCAAAGGAGCTGGAAGTTACTGCTGAATTGCTACCATTTATTGCACTTATCAAATGCCATTTAGTCATCTTAGTTGGCAAACTGGGCTGCCTTGCCAGAGTCTGTTGATAGGAAAGTCAATAAATGTTTGTCAAATGAATAAATGAATGAATGCACTCTTAAATGTGTTCTAGTTCTGTAGGATTGTATCAGGTACTTTAAATAAAACAGAATGCAAGGCTTAGTTCTTGGCATCTTTTTGTACCTATCCACCAAAGACTGTTTTGAAGTGGCACGGAGCATTAGACCATTTTCACTATTTCTTATGGAAAATAAGATGTCATCTCTTAAAATGGAATATCAGCAAAGCAATGATTAGCAGTAACAAACACAAGCTAATGCATTATGGAAGTTGAACACTTGATTGCTATCCATGGATTTTCTACCTAACATCCATAAACAGCAAAATGTACAAAACAAAATAGCATGCAGTGAACACCCATAGACCCTCCACCCATGGCGGAATACAATTTTGACATCTTCTCAGAAGACTCCACTCTCCTGTCTGTTATAATAATATTTGTATCAGCCCATCTTTATACTATAATGAAGTGCTTGAGGCTTATAACTATAAAGAAAAGCTTATTTAGTTTCCAGTTCTGGTAGTTTAGGAACATGTTACAGATGTTGGGTAGAGTTCGATGAGGACTCCATGGTGGGAGACATGGCAATGGCTGGAGCCCATGTGAGAGGAAGAGATCAAATCATCAAACAGGAAGCCAGGGAGAGTGGAAAGGCAGTCTTAAGACCTCCCATTAGGTGCCTCCACCTTGTAAAAGCCCCACCACTTCTTAGCATCCCCACCCTGAGGACTAAACTCCATGAGCCCTTGGGGGACATCCAAACCAACCTGACCATAGCAATCCTTTATTTACTTTTTTGCCACCTTTATGAAATCCCCTACATAATTAGTTCTATCCAATTTCAAATGTAATAGGTCAGGGGGAAAAAAAAAAAACAACCACGTGCACTTTTTATTTTGGGCTTGAAAAAGCAAACTAGTTGTTGTGTTTTACTAAGATATTTTGAATTGTACTGATTTCTGTTGAAGATCAAGACATTTATTCTCTAGTCTACTTTTATGTTTGCTGACTGTTAGTCTCCTTAATATTTCAAAGACATCCTTCTCCAAACTGCCTTTGGTCTTATACTAATGCTTTTCCAGATTCAGTGGAACTTTGAAGGATACTGAGCTCATCATGATGAAATGAATGTTTACATTCCATGATCATCATTATAATTATTCCTAATTTGTACTTTGCTTCAAAAAGTCTCTTCCCCTACCTCCTAAAGTCTGTACTTTCCAAATGGTATCTACAGCTTTAATTATACCTGACAATAAACTGCTCTAACCACAAAATCTGTTTGATCATGTACCACACCCAGATTACAGAATCTGACATCACCCTTAAATATTTTACTTTTAAATATCCCACTAATATTAGGCTCTTAAAGAGTTAATCTTAGCAATACTGTTCTTAACTGTTCCTGTAATTATTTTTATAATAAAACTTGTGACAAATGATTGAATAGTTGTTGTATTATTTATTAAACTGGGGTAAACTGGGGTAAGACGAACTTTTCAACTACTATATACCAAATGAGTCTACCAAGTAAAGTCTTTAGTGGATCTGGGTGTGATGGCACACGTGTGTAATCCCAGAGGCTCAGGAGGCTGAGACAAGAGAACTGAAAGTTTGCGGCCAGGTTGGGCAATTTACTGAGAACCTGCCTCAAAATAAAAAATAAAAAGTTCTGCAGAGGAAGCTCAGTGGTAGAGTATCCTTGGGTAACGTGGTCTGTACTGGGACAGGGGTGCGGAGTTGAGGTGGAACTTGGGCCATGATCTGCATACAGAATTAAATCAGATGATGCAATATAAAAAGGAACTTTGGGTCCATAATAATCCTGCTAATCATGTCACCTTTCAAATTACCCAGGTAATATCACTTCCCATAATAAAGGGATCTCCTTGTGGGTCCTTTTGTGATAGGTTTTGGATAGCACCTGGTGACAGATTCCATTGGAGCAAAGGACAGAAGACTAAAATGAAAATTCTGTATTTGGGAAAATTATTCTGGATCCTAAATGCTATCAGTCTAATGCTCACAACATCGCCACACTGTTTTGTGAATCATAACATTTCGTTGCCTAGATTTTTTTTACTTGATTCATACAGGCTATAGTTCATAATAAATTAAATAGTGAGCTGTATTCTAAATCTTCTATGTTATTTGGGAACAGTCAGTGGAGTGCTTTGGCAGAAACAATTTCATGTGGGGGTCTTAAGAAACAAAATTGGCAAGAAATATTTAGTTGGATTATGAAAATTCTTCAAGTGCTTATATTGAACTTTATCTTTCAGAAGTTGTTTAGTGGTTGGCTATTTATTTATTTATAATTGGGGTCACCATGAGGAAAACTGTCCTGATGGTTTCCAAGGAGATAAAGACTGGCAGCGGGAACAGGTGAGATGATACAGCAATGATTTGGGCTTTAGGAAATAAGGTTGGATTAGCCTGGTAGTGGTGGCACTGAACTGGAAAGAAAGGGATGGACACAGCACAGATCACAGGGGAGAATTTGGCTTCTTTCTTGTTGTCATTTCAGTCACTTGGACTTGACGCTGCTTAAATTCCCTGGCTTATTTCTCTTTCCATTTATGTTTTCTTCCCTCAATAACCTGCCTTTTCTATCTCTCTTTTTTCTTTGCCTGTATTAAATAAAAATTTTCTTATTCCTTTTCTGTATAGAATGATGACTGAATCAGCCAGTCAGATATGGAATGGGAGATGTGGGTGGAAATTCATTAACTATAAGATCTGCTAACTTATTAGGATATGTTGCTGCTCTTTAAAATTGACAATTATATGTATTTATGGAATGCAATTTATGTTTCAATACATGATGTTGCTGCGTTAAAAAAATCCTTTGTTTTCAGTAGCAAAAAAAAAGTGAAAAAATGATGGGGGAAAAAAAGAATAGAATGGAAAAGAGAGAGAAAGACAGAGACTTTCATTTGGTCATTCATTCAAGAAATGCCGAACTTATATGAGGGTAGGGAGCGGGGATAGGAAAAGGAAAGACAATAGAATGAATCCGACATAATTTTTCCGTGTGTGTATATGAAGACACCACAGTGAATACCACAATCATGTACATCCATAAGAATGGAATCCTGACTAGAAAAACATACATTCCATGCTTATATAATTATATCAAAATGGATTCTGCTGTCATGTATAACTTAAAAGACTCAATAAAAAATTTTACTGTACTAAAAAAAGAAGAAGAAGAAGAAATGCTGAACTCCTAGAGAAAAGATAGAACTAAAGACACAAAGAAAATAAAACAAAATAGCTTATTATATTGCAATCTTATTATATATTTTTTTCTTCTAAAACTGTTGGGTAGAATGGAGTCACCAGGATAGGAGACAAAAGAACTAAGATGTGATGGTCTCCTTCCTTCTTTCTCTATGAATATACTATTTTTTATATAAAAGGTAGTGTCTAAACCCCTTGAAATTTGACTGGCCCCTCTGTGTGGCTCAACTAGTAGAATGTTGTGGAGGTGACAGGGACTTTTCAGGCTACGCTGGAAGAAGCTTGGGTGTTTTGGAACATTTATTCTTGGGATGTCCCTTTTGGAATCCAGTTACCACTCTGTGAGAAGCCAAGCCATGGGGAGAGGCCACATGTAGGTGATCTGGTTGGCAGCCCCACACAAGGGTAAGAGCCAGCATCCTCTGCCAGCCACATGAGTGGGCCCTCTTGATGTCCAGCCCAGTCAAGGCTTTGGATGGTTGCAAATCCAGCAAGAACTGCCCAGCCAGTCCCAGTCAAACCCAGATAATAAGCGATAATAATAAATTGATGTTTCAAGCTACTTTCTTTGGTGAGATTTGTTATATAGTAAAAACTAGAATGTCATATCTTTTTTATCCTTATATAAGACATAAATAATATACTTTATCAAATGTTGGAAAGACTTATAATGCTACACAGAATGCATATATACTTTTTCTCTGTGTATTTTTTCCTTTTAAATATTATTCCACTGACCTGGGTGCTGTGGCACATGCTTTTAGTTGCAGCTACTTAGGAGGCTGAGGCAGGAGGATCACTTGAGTCCAGGAGTTAGAGACCAGCCTGGGCAATCTAGTGAGACCCCCCTCTCCCCAAAAAAGATCACTGTATTACCCATTAGCATTGAAATCTGAATTTAGGAAGGATTAAAGCAAATATTTTAAGCACTATAATATTTTGAGTACTGGACAAAGTGATGTAGATGTAACAAAAACAATTGATAGGTAATCAGAAGATAGATTTAAATCCTAGTTCTGACATTTGTCTTTGAGTGACCTAGGCAAGTTATTTAACATCTTCTGATTCCTGGTTTCCAGTGCTATAATATATTTCAAAGTATTAAGTAAGTAATGCCTGGCAAAACACAGATATTCAATAAACGTTGATTTTTTCCTTCCAATGAATCCCACGATCCTGAATGCAACCATGCTGAAGATTAACCTGCTATCATACAGCTTCCTGAAATTGAATACTTTTGTTATTTTAAAAATATTTCCCTTGATAAATATTTTATGAGCTTTCATAGTGTCGCCTTTAGCACTGTGATCTACCTTAGTTTTCCTATGGGGATGACTTGTTTAATAGATTTGGGGGACTCATTCTGTTGCTAGAATCTCACAAATGCACTTTTGTGGCAACCTTCTTTGGTTTTCAAGGTCATGGCCCTGTTTTTTTCTTGAATCTGATTCCCTACCCTAGTGCAAATGTTAATAAGTTAAGTGCATATCAAATAAGAATTTTAATTCAGTTCATCATATGTTTATATATTTAAATTTGAGTCAAATTGATATAATTGGTAACATTACCCATTTGCTTTGATTTGAGATGCCAAAAGATTGAAAAAAATTTAATTTAGAAGCGAATTACCTTGCTTATTTGAATTTATCATTTTTGCATAATTAGGATGAACTAATTTAATTTGCAGTTATCCTTTTAAATGACTTAAATGATGTCTACTGAGATATTCAAGGCCACATGATTAGTGGAGTCATCCTGCATATTTCTCTGTTCTCACAGGGTTAGAAAGTACTAAAGTACAAACAGTGAAGCTTGGATATAGAAGCCACAAGCTTGATCCTTTCTCCATTAATAACTTTTTTCCTGCTTTGTTTTGTTCCCTTTTCCTCTCTGGCCTCTGCTTTATGTGTTCCAGAAGAACCACATTTTGCGTTTGGGGATGGAGTGCCCTCCTCTTTCAACCCTGTTCTGATTCTGTGCCATTTTTACTCAGCATTTAGCACACATCTCACTTCTACAAAGGGAATCCTGATTAATCATCGAGTCATGGAAGAAGTTCTTGATGGGAACTGAGGTTCTGTCAGAAAATGTTGCTTTTTGATGATGAATTTAATGAGTGTTTTAAAAACCTGGACACTATATTAACAGCTAGAGTAGTTAGAACCTATTGAATCATAAAATTGTATTTTTTAAACTTCAGGTTCTGACCCTGAAATATTTCTGGGAGTGTGACAAAAACTTAAAGAATACTGAAAAAAACTAGAGAAGATTCTGCTAGAGTATATTACATGTAATGAGGGTAAATGAAGCTTAATAGAACTTTTGCATTCGTGTGTGTGTGTGTGTGTGTGTGTGTGTGTGTGTGTGTATGCGTGTATGCACAAGCACTGGTTTATGATAAAAATTATTTTATATATTTTTGTGAGTTGCTTTCCAGCATTTGAAAACCACTGCCTTGGATTTAAAAAGCTGTCTGATGTAACTTGACAATATAGCAGTTTGAAATATAAAAGTATAGATAACTATATGTTTTAAAAGAATCTTTGGTTGCTTTTACCTGAGAAACTTAGGCCTAGCATGAGGAGGCATTTCCCCAAGGGCCAGAACCCAGTTATCCCCATAATTGGTGGGAGCCCAAATGCTGTCTCTCAGGCAGAGTCTGAGGAAACCCCCTTCTCATCTAGTTTGTGATGTTGCTGTCACCCTGCTAAGAAGATTGGCATTGGACAGTGCTGTGTCCTAATTAGATCAAAAGACCAGGTTTTCTGAGGTCTTGGTTTGCCTGAAAGATGGCATCACACTTTTCCTCCATTAGTGGGACTTGTACAGTGCTGGGAGGGCCTGGAAGGCCTAATTCTTAGCTCTCCTCTTTTTTTTTTTTTTTTTTTTTTTGGTGGTGCTGGGGATTGAATCCAGGGCCTTGTGCATGCAAGACAAGCACTACCAACTGAGCTATATCACCAGCCCCCTTAGCTCCCCTCTTTGCTGAAGAACCTCCCCTTTCTTTCCCACTGGATCTTAGGAAGAAGAGAGGCAGCATTAAAAGCTATAATTGTTTGATTCATGTCATATGAGTCTGTGCTTTTGTGTAAAGTCTACTCATTTAGAGGAAGTTTTCATTCCCAGAATTAGAAAATTAACTCTTAATCAGAGTAAGCATACTTTTAGTTTGCTAATGAGTTAAGGAGAAAAATGACACATCCTCCTCCAGTTGATGGATGTTCTTTTGAGACTCTATCTGATATCCTCATCAGGCCTTTGCTCAGATGATGTATTAGTCAGCTTTCATTACTATAAAAGGCACCTAAGATAATCAGTTTATTAAGACAAAAGGTTTATTTTGACTCACAGTTGTGGAAGTTTCAGGCAATGATCAGTTGGCTTGGTGGGGAGGCAGAACATCATGGTGGAAGCAAATGAAGCAAAACCCCTCACTTCATGACTAGGATGCCAAAGAGAGGGAGAGAGAGAAAGGAAGAGATCAGGGTCCTACAGTCCCCCTCTGAGTCCCCACTGAGTCCCCAGTGACTTGAAGTCTTCCCTCTGGGACCTGCCTATTAAAGTTTCTCCCAATTCCCAATAGCACTAGGGATGGGGGAACAAATCTTAAACACACAGACTTTTGGAGAACATTCCAGATATGAACTATAGCAGATGGGCCAACACATTTCAGAACCATAAGAATCCTTATAGCAGAAAGTAGCCCCTTACTTTTCTGGCTCTTGTCCCTGTAAGTTTCCTAGATATATTTGAATTTGCAATCTACTTTCTCTATTGTTCAAAAGGCTATCTATGAACTCAGTGGAATTTGCCATATTGCATCACTTAATATTTTCCATCTGCCTATAGTTTCTAATTTCTTTTCATAGAACAGCTCTGATTTACATCCTTATTTTTAAATAAAGATCTTATTTTGACTTATTATTAGTTAAAAATCAACCAAAAGTCTTTCCTCAAGGGTCCTTCTCCCCAGTCTCCATCAACCTTTTCCTGTTACCTGTTTGCACTCTAGATGGTAGTCAATAAAGATTGATGGAATCGTCACAGGAAGATTCCCAAATGGGACATTTTCAAGGGTAGCTATAACCTCTTTTCTTAAGGAACTTTTAGGCAAATTAAGGAAACAAAACAGGTAAATTTAATAATGATAGTAGAATTTTATTCTCAAAAAAATTATTTTGTGGTACTGAGGATTGAACCAAGGGATGTTCTACCACTGATCTACACACCCAATCTTTTTTAAAAATTTTAAATTTCCCAGGCTGGCCTTGAAGTTGAGAATCCTGCTGTCTCAGCCTCCCAAGTAGCTGGAATTACAGGAGTGAGCACTATACCAAGCTCATTCTCAGATATTTTCTATGGCTTGAATCATTGCATCAGGCAAATCCCTTTTTTCCCCAAATATTTATTTTTTGTAGTTGTAGTTGGACACAATAACTTAATTTTATTTATTTATATGTGGTGCTGAGTATCCAACCTAGGCACATTCGAGGTGAGCACTCTACCACTGAGCCATAACCCCAGCCCCAGAAAATTCCTTTTTAAGAGGAAAGTCCTTATTACAAATAAGAAGAATTTTAGATAATTTTCTAAAATTGTCTTGAATAATCTTTGATTTTTCTTAAGAACAGTGTGATAGTGAGTATATGCAGCACAATTTTGATCACCCAGAATTTAATTTAAATGGGAGAAGTAAAATGGTTACCTAACACACCCAAACTGATTTTGTCCTAAGCACTTCTTGGGTTGTAAAACCATATTACAGGATATAGACAAGGAGGAAATTTTGTGTTAATTCTGCCTCTTTCATTTTATATATCAGAAAATTGCATCTCAGAGACAGGAGGTCATTAAGATTATCCAATTACTTAATAGGCTATTTGAACAACAGTGGTTTCAGAAGAAATGCAGGAAAATAGAAGTCTCAGATATTTAGGAACCATAATAGTCCATGCTGATTGGTTGGTGGTGAGCCTAGGGGTTGGGTACTGAGGAAGAGGGAAGAACAAAGATGCTGTGTGGACCTTCAGCTTTTGTATATGTGTGTGTGCGTGTGTGAGTGCATGTGCGTGTGTGTGTGTGTGCTTTTTTGTGTGCAAGTGAAAGATATTCATTTTGGAAGAGGACACTGGAGGAAAAGTGGAAAAAGTTTGTGAGTTTACCCTGGGAATGTTGCGTGTGCATGCCTTTGGAAGTCCAAGACGATGTGTTACAGCTGAATACACATAGGAGGAAAACCACGGGAGTACTAAGTCATGACAGCTTAGTAAAGAGTATTTCCAAGGGGAAGTAATTATCATCTATAGCCTGTGCGAAGCCAAGTAAGATAAAGATGGGAAAGTGTCCGTTAGGTTTGGCTATAAGGAAGCTGTTGGTAACTTGGCAAATGACGTTTTTTTTTTTTTTTTTTTAGAGGAGAAAAAGTTTATTTGGGGGTTCACAGTTTCAGAGGTCTTAAGTCATAGATGGCTGACTCCATTCTTTGGGGTCTGAAGTGAGGCAAAACATCATGGCCGAAGTGTGTAGGAAAGGAAAACATCTGGGAACATCACACTAGGAAGCAGAGACAGCACTCCTCACCACAACAAAATATAAGCCCCAAAGGCATGCCCTACCTTCTCCAGCTATACCCTACTGGCTATCAAGTTACTAGTCAATGCCTAGCATGGGATTCACTGAATTGGTTAAACCTTTCATAACCCAATCATTTCACATCTAAACTTTCCTGCATTGTCTCACATACGAGCTTTTGGGGGACACCTCATATCTAAACCATAACAGACCAAAAAAGGCCTCTTGTCCATCTTAGTCTCTGTATGGAGAGCTTGCTTGAATTCTATTCTCATCAGATTCTTTTCAACCTGGAAGTTTTTAGCATGTTATCATTTCTTGAATGATGAGTCCCAAAGTACTCCATTGTCTTAATCTGTTCTCTCAAGCTGCAAACTGAGCTTTAGGTTTTGTACTTCAGATGTGTTCAACAAATTTCCCCTTCTCTTTGGCTTTATCCTTCAAACTAGCACCTCCTATCTCAAAACTTGTTCTTTAGACTTTTCCAACCAGAATCACCCATTAACATCAATCATTCATGCCCAGATGAAGGCCAAGAGGATTGCCGTTGATCTCACAGGTTAACACAGCTTTCCAGTCAATGTCGGCCTGGGTGGAAAAGAGTGATGTGATGACTTCCCACTAGGACCCATATTTCCCCTCTCAGACCCTATGGTTATCAATGCTGTCTACACTTTACCTCCCATCCCACTGATTTAGGGGTACACCACTGGTCACCAGATAACCAGTTTCACTAGAAACCAACTAACAAGTAACTGAAGATTTAAAATACAATTCTTGTTTAGATCATCCTTGATCACCTTCTTGTGGGGAAAAAGCCTGCAGGTCACAACGGAAATATACTGAGGTCAAATCTTCTGATTCCCAGGGGTTTCTTTCAGGTGAATTAAGCTTCCAATTCCGGGGCAAGCCCAAACAATAGCTCACAGGGGCACTGGTGTGCATACATAATCTTCCAGCATGATCCCTACATTGTCCTATTCTCATCACTTTCTCCCACCATTCCTGAGGTTAACAATGAGTCAGTGTAATTCTGTACAAACTTAGAAACTGAAGAGTATAACTGGGTATATCCTCTTATTTTATTGTAGTCTCAAAAAGCTCCTGGAATTCTAGAGATACAAGACTTGTGGCACAGAATTAAGAGCAAAATGCTCACCAGAAAAATAAAGAATCAGCTAAATATCAGGGAGATTTGACCCTAGCTGGCAAATTTTTAACTGCAAATACTTGGAGCCATTAATTATGTATACTTGTTTTATTCATAATTTGTAATGTTTTGGGATACCAAAAGTAATTCTAATGATGGTTGAATTTAACAAAAAAATCTTTACCCTCATCTTAAAACATCCACTGATCCATCTTATTCTATGGCAATATTCAATGTTAAAGGGAACATAAAAACAAACATGCACACAATTGCACAGTTTTCATAAAGGTCTATTTCATTATTGGTGGGTAGTGCATTTAACAGTTAAATACATTTAAATAATGCATAGGTGACTGCATGACTGCAGCATTGGTAACTAGATAACCAATTCAACTAGAAACCAGCTAACAAGTAACTGTCTAAATATTTAAAATACAGCTCTTGTTCAGATCATCCTTGTTTTGATCACCTTCTTGGGGGGAAAAAATGCCTGCTGGTCACAATGGAAATATATTAAGGCCAAATCTAATATCCATTCCCAGAGGTTTCTTTTAGCTGGATTAAGCCTCCAATTCCAGGGCAAGCCCAAGTTTGTGGCCTCCAGCATTAATGCTCTTCCCATCTACCAGAGCCGACAGTGTAAGCTTCACACCAGGCCTCAGAGTCTGAGTGTAGCCCACTCCAATTAAACTAGAGTTGTTGACCTTTGCAGAAATGGAAGCAGTGGGATCAAACTGATATTTAGCTGCAATGCCAAAACGAGTGCTGTTGGTACATGATGTCCAAGCAAGGTTTACTGAAGTGTCAAGATCTTCACATACTTTCTGATAGATGGATCCTCCAAATTCTGCCCCATCATTGACATTAGTGTGTAGCTGAAAGTCCCCAGTCCTGTAGCCCACTGCAAAGTTATTCCTTGTCAGCTTTGATTTGGCACTGTCAAAGGTCATCTGGTACCCAGCAAGCCAGCCCTCATAACCAAAGACAGCTGAACCATGGACTGCAGGTACAGCAAAATCAAAGTCAACATCACAACCAAGGTTTATACACTCCCTCTTGTAAGAGGACTTGATTTTACCACTTTTCTTTCCTGTGTTTGGTGAGAAAGTAGTATCAAATGTCAGCTTTAAACCTTGACATATCTGGTCTTCAATTGCGATTTCTGTTCCCAGAGTGTTATCGGTGTTCCATTTTTCTGTGAAAGTCAGACCATACTCACACCATTTATATTTGGTATCCAAGGTCCCAGTAACTTTACCAGTGTCTGTATTAGATGAACCAGATGTTGAGAATTCCACGCCACTGCATGACTTTGTTTCCACATCCAGTTTCACCAACCCAAAGCCAAATCCTTTGTTGAAGATATCTCTAGCAGCTTTGCCAAGGTCAGTATATGATGGAGGAATACACATTGGCTGCACGCAGCTCTGTCCGTAGGTCGCCATGGTGAGGCCGCGGGAAGAGGTGATCTGGTGGTCTCCTGAGGGGCGCCGCAGCCGCCGCTTGGCTCGCAGCACAGGCAACTCGGCTCGCTAGGATCAGGCTGCAGCTGCTGCTGCTGGAGGGCGAAGTCGGCAAATGA